ATGCAGAACTGGCCCTGTTTTGCAAGAAAATGGGGAATTTGTGCACTAGGAGTTTTGAGAGGCAAAGGGGTCGTGTTTTTGGCTTGTTAGGAGGTATCAAACTTGTTTGCAATGTTTGTGTAAGTTGGTTTTAACAGATGTGAGAGATGGCTTGTGGTTTGCAACTTTTCTTCTTCTTGAAGCAAGAGTGTCTATATGTTCAATGCAGGCCTGTACAAGTCCTATATCATGCTGCACACTTTGCCCTTGGTTGCTGGAATTGGTAGATTTGATCTTGCCTCAGAGATTTGGCCCCATGCCTCAATGATCTTGTTTTGACATAAAGTGAAGTTTAAGCAAAAATGGCATTGTTACTTTTTCTATTTAAGGCTTAATCTAGTGTATAATGCCCTAATAATCAAGACAATACCTTAACTCAATGGATATGCATTAAATTATGGAGTACAAACTGGTTTTGAGGCCTGTAATTGTGAACCAAGCTAGCTAGATCAGATTTTCAATTTGGTAACAACATGTATTGGCCATGGATCAAAGTGAGTTTTTGCCAACTTCAAGAATTTTATTCTCTCTAACCACAAGGGTGTTTGAGGAGTTCTTGGACAATTTGGAAAGCTTGGAACATGTACTATAATCCATATTTGAAATGCAACTTGAAACTCCAAGTGGAACTATGTAAAAAATGGCCAAGAAGATGGGTCAAAATCCTGCCTAAATTAGGGCAAAATTTCTCTAAGTTAAAAGTTTTAGATACCCTTGTTCCAAAAATCATAACTTGAGATACAAACCTCTTTTTAGAAAACTTTGTGAATATCAAAGTTGTATAATTTGTGATGAAATACAAATTTCATGTTGCAAGTTTTGTTTGAATCCATTTGCATCTTGGTGAAAAAATGGGACAAAGTTAGGAAAAAATAAGAAAATTTCATAACTTAGAAAATTTCTAAGTTATGAAATTTTTCCATTTTAAACCCTAATTAGCATTTTTGGGTTTCTTGATGAACAAGTTTCGTAATTTGACATGTCTTGGTGAAAAATGACTCTTGGCACTTGATTTTGACCAAAAAGTCAAAGTTTGACTTTTTAGTGTACAGTCAAATTTTGATCAGTTGACAGAAACATTCATTTGTCCATCATATGCATTTGAGATCTTTTGAACTTGTTGAATGGGTCAAGACAATGTCATTGATTCCTTGAGTCCATGTTTGAGCTTGATTTGCCATTGGCTAGGTCAAACAGTCAAAAATTACCTTTGTGCAGTCAAAACCCTAAAAATGACCATTTTGCCCTTTTGATGATCTGATCAAATTTCTTGTGGAATTGTGATCCAAACTTGATCAAATGGTTCATATGAGTTCATAATGTTGATGTGGGTCAAATTTCATGAGGTTTGACTGTCAATTGGCCACAGTTGACTTTTTCTCCAATACAGTTGATTTCTAGGTCAAATGTCCAATTGACTGGGCAAAAATTTGAATCAAGGCTTGAAACTTGGTATGGACAAACTTGTGAGTCCAACATGAAGTATGAAAGTCCCTTTGGGCATTGTAGGTCAAAACATCCCTGTGCAAACTCAAACCCTAATTTAGGTCAACAGTGCAAGGAGGTGTCTTGAGCAGAGTAAACCCTAGCTTGATCTTGAGTTCCAAAAGTCTTGTAATTGAGAAAATGTTGATGAAATGAGAGGGAAAATTTTGGGGTACAACACCAACCAAAGCATAACACGCAAAAATACTAGAAATAAAACTAAAAACCATAAAATGCTGAAGAAACTTAATAAACATAAAATTGACTCAAATGGTAACGAAATACGAAACAAAGTAATGAGGAATACCTGGATTATCGTCGGACAAGTGACATAAACATAGTGAAAATGGTGATAGATCATCGCTCTTTGGGTAAAATAAGGATACATAAGAGATGACTCATATGTCAACCATATGGGGTATAAAGAGATGACGTCAAACGAACGTGTCTGGTGGTGACCCTTAATGGGAAGAGGAAAACGTTGTCTTGTACCATACGGTCAAGAGAGACTCTGAATGGCTCAACTATATTATTCTCCATGTACGCATCAAATGTGGTTTCACATGGTCATTCCTCGTAATAGGCAGGTGTAGCTTCCCATTCAGTGATGTGAGGGAAGTGATAGATGATCCATCCTTGAAAATGGTATGGATATAATATTAATAACAAGTGTAACAATGAATTATGAAAATATTAGTAACAAGAAATTATCAAAAGAAGTGTGTAGCTCCTTATCATCTACTTTGTCTTCCAAAGACAACTTTCGCCCAACTTCGAGTATATGTAGACCAAATAGGCAGGCCCCTAGTTGTACTCGTGAATCACAGTCAGGTCAGTGAAGTACTTAAGGTAGACTACGTTGACATATATTTCACTTTTGTCCATAAATATGGAAGTACCAACCAAGAACAAGAGGTAACATCTTAATTCGCAATATCGCTGGTACTCAACCTGCATATCATCACATACGGCATCCAGGGCCCACTACAAATTCTTTTTATAAAGCTTTTCCAAAAAAACTAAACCTCGCATGAGCACTTATGGTTTCATGTGCCTCCTTTGAGGCCTCATTTCATTCATCCCCCAAATGGGTAAGTTGATGTCTTCCTCTCGATCGATCCTCTTATGGTACAGTAATCTCCCTCTGATGGGAAGATGCATGAGTCATGAGATGTCATCCAAGTTGATGGTCATATCTCCTATAGGTAGGTGGAAAGATTATGTCTCTAAGTGTCATCTCCCTAGTCTCTGCAAAATCCTTCTGCATGTCGTGGTTTATGGTCACGTACATAGTAGAACAAAAACCAGCAAGACCATAATAGCGGATAAGATCAATGAACCAAGTAGTAGTGGATTGTACCAGATCCAAAATCTTCATGTCGTGGTTAATCGGTTTCAAACAATCACACTCCTATAAAAAGAAAATATAGCCATAGTATGAATTTAATTAGTTGACAACATGTGTAATGCAAAAGAAAATAAATATACATTTCCATGTCAGACATGCCTAGTGGGATGTTCTGCATAAAGATGAAGTAAAGATGTGTCAAATGAGCTTCATAGGTAACTGTTTAATAGGGAGTCACAATCAGAAACGACTTTCTCATGGGCTTCAAGGTCAACAGGGGCTTCAGGTTCTACTGCATCATACAATTGAAAGGTCTGAGAGAGTCGGCTATGAGAACCATACAGGTGGGAATCTCGTGGCTACAAAGTAGATGCACCATCAAATAAGTCATTAGCAATTTGTGGCCTCATGGTCCTCGTTGTAGCTCTCTCACCTCATACCGATGCAATTTAAGACACACTCGCGATCCTAATTCGACCAGCATTATTTTCACCCATTACACCAGCACTAGAAACAGAGACGGATATAAACAGCATGTCCAAATAAATTCATAAGTTCCACAAAATCACCCAACTTTTTACCTGAGTCCAATCTGGAGATGTATCTCCGAAAATAATGCAGAGCAAATCCAGAGATGCATCTCGAGACAAACCCATGATAATCTCTCATGGTAGAAACGCCATTTATGTCCTACCAGTCCCAAAAAATCTCAATGCATGGTCTTCTAGTCTACCATTTTCATTTACACTACTACCTAATGTACCTAAAGCGGCTAATTGTTGTACCCCTAAAATTTTCCCTCCTAATTTCTTTTATCTGGCTTAGGCTTAGGATTGCATTCACACCTTTTTCTTATGTCATATGCATTAACATGCATTTCATTCAAATAATGTACCTGAGGTACAAAGTTCAATGATTGCGCAAGCTGGGGTTTTACAGTGTTTTAAGGTATATAGATTCAATCAAGCTGATTACTTCTGATTCTTCTGATTATTCTGCAAGCAGTGAAGTATGGAATTAAGGTTGTAATCCATGGTTATCCTTAGTATCCTTCTCCTCAAGCTACAAGGGCTAATAGGGTTTATTTCCCTATGTTTGAGCAAAGATCGGGGCTTTTCAGCTATTGTACTCCAATTAAGGTCCTTCTTCAAGAATCATCGATCATGAGTTAGGGTTTTGCATAGTGATTGCTTCAAAACAAGGAATGGGATTTGAGATTTAATCACGGACAGAGGTTCTCTTTGTTGTGCTATCGGTTATCAAATGGATCTTGAGGGGTTAGTTTCATGACATTCATGTGGCGCACTTCACAATTAAGTTTTGTGAATCATCATGAGAAGATTGCTACTGATGTCTATGTGCTTTACAAGAAAATGTTGTGGATTTGATACAAGATCATCTCAAAGTCAAGTTTAAGCTATCGAGGCTTTCATATATGGATCCATTGGTGCAAACATGGAATGAAGTTTGATTGAGATTCAAAATTCCCGACTCAAACAAGGTTCATAAAAATTCAAGTTTCATTCGAGAATCATTTTATATTATAAAATCAAGAAGAAAGCTCTAAATGTTAAAGGGCGAATTAGAATAAGTTTTGGTACATTGGTATTTCCGTTTATTGATACTTTCGAGTCATGATGGGCATGAAATGTTGGAAAAAGAAAGAATATTGCAAAATCATGGTTCAAATACATTCATCATCAAATTCCACAATATTCATCATTATTCTATCAACGATATTTCAGGATCAAAGAAATGAGTATTCAATTACAAGTTCAAAAGCAATTGAGAGAAATTCAAATTCAATTTGAAGGAGAAAAGCAAACACTTTTTGAATACTTGAGAAGATTGATATTGAATTCAAAGGATTTCAAACGACTTTCATAATCAAGAGCTATAATTTCATTCAAAATGTCAAGAAAAACTTATTCAAAATCCATCTAAATCTCATCCAAAACCTCCTCATTCAAAGTTCAAGTGTTAGAGTACACCATGGTCCTTTACAAACTCAAATCATTACACCGATAATAAAGCAAGAAGCTCTAATTACAAATATCATGGACATTGCAAGAATTTGCAAAAGACCACGTGTGAGAATATAAAATCCATCTTGCCATGCTCTCCATCTTCATGCCATCAACAAAAATTCATCCCTTTCTTCAAGCCGTGGCCTTGGTCCTTCCATATAGATCTTGAAACTCTTCATGGTCAAGTGATTTTCACTAACCTTATGCTCTGACATGTCCGAAGAAACAACTAGCTCAACATCCAATGATCCAAAACAATTTGATGTTAATCTAAAATTGTGGCAAACTAGTCCATTCATTACATTCAACCAAAACCAAATCAAAAGAAGCAAGTATAGTTCAATAAAGCAGGTCCTACGATAAACAACTAAAAAAACCAGTTCAGGAAAGTTGAAATCCAAACAAAACCAATTAACCAAGCAGTTATCCATACCATTTCTACACATAAACCAAACACCATTCATGACATTGTAATTCTCTAGTTCATAAGCATATCACTAGATCATTTAAAGTCTGAGTATCTGGTTTGGAATTCACACTTATCTACATGCTTTGAGCTTCAACTGTATGCAGCCACAGACTGCAAACTGCTCACCAATATGTAGTGCTGGTATATTAATTGCTGCCATGTTATTGTCCTGTACAACAAATAGATCACACCAGTCCTGCAGCTTGAATAAACAAATCAGTAGAATGCAAAAGCAGAGGAATTAAACTCAGGCTTCAAAACAAGAAAGGGAGAAGAACCAAAGCCATAATAGAGAAATAGCAGAAAAATTGTTAAGTCAGAAAATCAGGAATTGCAACAAAATAATTTCCAGCTCAGAAAATCAAATTCAAGATATATCAATACATTAAATCAGAAGGGAAATGCACGCTTAACAGAAATATCATAATTTAGCAGCTCAGCAAGTTTCCCACAAAATCAGAATAATCCCCACCCTTCAATCATATAACAAACTTTCAGATCAATGCCTCAGATTAATGCAATCCTAACAAACTCTAACAGCACAATATAACATAATTTTTACCTTTTCACGACTCATTCTCACATTCGTGGAGAATCACCAAAACAGAAAAACCTCACCAGAAAAAGAGATACTCTCTCTCTGAATCGCATCTTCATCACACCTTCTTCTTCCGTCGTTCTTTCTTCATTCTCATCTTCATCTTCATTCTTCAACATCCTGAAGAATCACCAAAAACAATCTCTCTTCTCCTCTTATCTTCATCTTCACCATTCTCACATTCTTGGAGAATCACTAGAAAATGAAAAACACCAGAAACTGAAAAACACCAGAAAATCTTCTTCTCTCACCCTTATTCATTGAATACTCAATCACCATAACCTTGACTCTTATGTCCCTATAAAATCTTCTGTGAGACTCCATAACTTTGTCATCTTCATCTTCTGCACAACACCTTCAACCACCTCAATCACCTTCAACAACTGCAACATCACGAGTGACATATCACCAATCTGCAAAGTTCAACATCGCACAACAAAAAACTCCTCAGTGCAATCGCATAGTTTTCTTCAAGGATCTTCATCGCTTCCTGCAATAAGAATGCAATATCAAGGTAGCGCATGCATGAACAACTACTGAAATGCGAAATCACAGAAGAAGAAGAAGAATCAGAAAGGAAACAGACACCTAAGTACATGGAGTCTCACCTCTGGTTTTCTGTTGATTTCTTTCAAAACTACAAGTCCAAGTTTACTTTCTTGCACTTCTCTGTGTAAATCATTGCACGACTATCTTTCTTGGAGAATCGGTCTGGTAGTATGTTGAATCTAAGTGAGAGAGAAGTTTGAGATTGCAAAGAAGAAGGATGAAGTTATGTGTGATTTTACATAGAGAGTGACATGGAGATTGAGTTGACGGTAAATCGGAAAAAATAAGAAACATAGACGGTAAGGTGTGTGTTGCTGGAATTTGGCAGTGGAAGAGATTAGATAAAGTAGACGAAGAAGCGGCGATTGACGGAGAAGTTTGAGGATCAGTATTGTGTCATTGAAAGAGTGAGAGAGCGAAGAAGAGACTCTGTATCATGAAGTTGAAAGGTCACTGATCGGTGCATATTGATGCACATTCTCTTATGTTTGTATCTAGGCATTTTCATGGTTTGTTTTGTTTATTTTTCTATTTTATGATGTTTTTATAATTTAGTTTATTTTTACCTTTAATTGATTTTCGTATTTATTTTCAGCATTAGCAGCTTTCAATGAAAAAAAATCATAACTGGAACTTCAGAAATCGGATCAGCACGTTATAATAATCGTTGGAAAGCTGAGAGAAAGATCTACAAGTTTTATTTTGGATTCAGAAGCTGATTCGGAGTGCATAATTCCTAGGAATTCGTTGAAGTTTCAGACGTTAGAAAACAATTTGTTTCGGATCATTTTATGGACCTAGTTTATGTTCAGATCCAGTTTGAGTTAGTAGTGAAAAATCCTATTTTGTTTATAAGGTTTTCAACCGTGCTACAAAAAAAACCTTTTTTTCGACGATAGAACTTTTGCTTTGTACGAATCTTATGGAGAGCTAAATTTCCTCTGAGTTGATCTGCTACATTCATGTTCTGATACTTGAGGTTAATATAATTTTGTAATTTAATTCCTATTCCTTTCAACTTTATTATATGTTCATCATTTGCTTAATCCGATTGTCATAGAATAGTCTTGTTTGGTTCGATTGATTTATGTTTCCTAATTTTCATTGTGTGTTATCATTTGCTTAATTCGTTAATTCGCTTATTTTTAACCGTTTGCTTAATTCGGTAAACAGGAAACATAATTCTTATAATATCATTCTCGCTTGTTGAATGTTATTATGATCGAACAGGAATAGTATCCGCTTAGGGAGCGATGTTATAATAATCAATGATAGGTAGAAACCGAATTAGCATATTAGCTTATTTTATAATTACTTAATTTATAATCACTTATTTTCTCTGATTTCATAAAAAAAATCCAAAAATGACAAACCCCCATAAATCGTTACTACTCTTAGTTAATAAAGACAAGAATCCTTGTGATACGACTCGATCCATTGTCGCTAACTACATATTTTAAAACAACTTGTTTTTAATTCGCCCGCGATAGCGGATCAAATTGGCACTGTTGCCGGGGATTCTTGTTGTTATTAATTAATATTTTAGTCATAGGTATAGTGTTCTTGCTATTTTTTCTTGTTTTTTTTATTGTGTTTGTTGATTTCCAGGGTTGCAATTTCAGTTGCAGTACAGTTTTTCAACCTACCAGGTAAGTTTGAAACCTACTGTTTCGATTTTTTTTGAATTCTTTTTAGACGTTCAGAAAAAAATCGATGAACAATATTCCTTTAGAATAGAATTCTAAAAGATTTCGGCCCTCAAAATCGCAAATTCCTCTTTTTTTCTATTTTTTATTGTTTTCATAGTGTCGAAAAAATTCGAAAAAATTCTCAAAATTCTTATTTTACTTCATTAGATTAATTTCAATGTCTTTATATTTTTCTGAATTTATTTTCATCATTTTCCCTATTTCTATTTGTTTCTGCTTGTTTGAGACATAATTGATATTTTTGTGTTTCTTGATAACATGGATGAACAAAGAACTTTGAGGCAGTTGGTTGCCCCTGATGTAAACTATAATGGTGTATGTATTAACTATCCTATAGCTGATGTACCTACTGAATTGAAATTTTATTTAATACATTTGTTGCCAAAGTTTAATGGTCTTGCAGGTGAGGATCCGCATAAGAATCTGAAGGAATTTTAGGTTGTGTGCTCTTCAACTTCTGGGTCTTTACTAGAGGATATTATCAAACAAATTGCTGCAAATAATCGCTAGTTTGAACAACAAATAGATTCTATTCTCCAGACTTTGCAAACACAGATTGAACAGCTTGCCTCTTTGATGAATATCATGCAACAAGCTCAAGGATCTAACCAACAACCCTTGGAAGAGAATTATGTTTTTCCAATAGAGTTACTTTTTGAGACTGCTGATAATGCTTGTATTGATTTATTTGCAGCTGATTTTCCATCATTATCTGATTTTGATGATGTTTACTCTTGTGATGTTTGTACTGATATTAAAATTTGCTCTGTTTGTGCTGAAATTGAGGCCGCCTTGCAAGTTGATATTCTTACTACAGATGAGGTTGCAAATGAAGTTGTTTGTGTGGAAGAAGCTCTCAATACTCCGGCTTCCCGAAACAGACAATCCATCAAACAACCACCTTCCCGAGAGCTGAAACTAATTCCTGAAAATCTTAATTATACTTATCTAGAGATGAATGAAAAACTCTCGGTTATAATTTCTTCTAAACTTTATTTTGATCAAGAAAGTAAATTTTTGCAGGTTTTGAAGAAGCATAAGAAAGGAATTGGATGGACCTTAGATGATATTTATGATATTAGTCTGTCCATGTGTATGCATAGGATCGCACTTGAAGATGTAGCAAAAGCAGTGAGGCAGCCCCGTAACCTTTTGATCCTTGATGTTGTGAAAGATAAGATCACGTTCACGTGCAGATTTAACACTTTTACTTTTAGAAGAACATTATTTGATCCATGAATAAAAAGTGAAGGTACTGATAAAAATTGCAAATTCAAAGGACACTGCCTCAAGCTATTCCATGAGAGTCCCACGTTAGAAGAGGAAACTATAGAAGAGCTCTCGTTGGGAAAGGCTACTTATGCGATCATCTATCCGTCTTGACTCCTCGGGTGTGTTCTTTCCTCTCTCTCCTTGCTCTTATTTTATGCTTGTTTCTTTCATTGAGGATAATGTGTATTTTAAGTGTGGGGGAGGAAATCATTTATTTGTTTTGTTTTCTTTGTTGTTGTTCATTGTTTTGTTTTCAATTATTATAAATAAAAAATTGTATCCTTTTGTAAATTTTGGGTTATAAGATTAATCTGAGGTTAGTTGTGGAGACTTGGGAAAAGTTTGAAATATCGGTATCGTCTTAACACCGTAAGTCTCCTGCATATGGAAATTAATTTGAATAATTATTATGACATAGCCTTGAATTCTCATTCTCTAACAGCTATTGAGTAGTTTATCTTAGCAGTCAGCACCATCTCACACATGCTCTACATACGGAAACTGATGAATATAAGTGAGTGATCCAGTTTTTATTTGAGAAAAGAAGGAATGCACCTTCTAAGTTTGGTAACCCTCACCCGGTCACTTAACCCAACGGTTGTAAAACCTACAAAATTTGATTATCAGACTCGTTATTAGTTGGTTCAGAGGTTTCTGGTGTTGAACTTGGTAAGGTGGATTACGGTCCGATCTCCCACAACTACAATTAGGTAAGCAAAGGGTTATACCACTCATGTACCAGAACCCCGTGCAAAAACGATCAGAGTCACTAACTGGTCGTCTTACAATTAGTGTGTGGAGATAACGAGCTTAATGTGATTGTGTCAGAATGAAAGAGAGCAAAAAGGAGGATGAGTAAGTTAGGCTTTGGCATAATAACATGATTCAAATTGGGTTGTATATTCTGGAAGCTTATGACTGCACAATTATGGTGTAGTGTTCCTACAATATCCTTAGTATACAAGATTAGTACCTATCGATGCAATCTTAACCAAAGAAAAGTTTGTAGCCTGGAATGAATAACTGATGATGTTGTTGTGTTTCTGGAGTTTTTATTTTATTTTTGCTCGGAGTGCAAAAGTTTAAGTGTGGGGAATTTGATCAGTGCATATTGATGCATATTCTCTTATGTTTATACTTAGGCGTTTCCATGGTTTATTTTGTGTATTTTTCTATTTTATGATATTTTTATAATTTAGTTTATTTTTACCTTTAACTTATTTTCGTATTTATTTTCAGCATTAGCGGTTTTCAATGAAAAATCATATTTGGAGCTTCAAGAATCGGATATGCGTGTTCTAATAATCGTTGGAAAGCTGAGAGAAATATCTACAATTTTTATTTTGGAGTCGGAAGCTGATTCGGAGTGCATAATTCCCAGTAATTCGTTGAAGTTTCAGACGTTAGAAAACAATTTGTTTCGGGTCATTTTATGGACCTGGTTTATGT